CAAAGATGGAGACATTGTGGGCGCTTGTGTGGGCTTCCTGGTTGGCACTTTCGTGGGAGCTTGTGATGGACTTGATGTGGGTACACTTGAAGGCGTGTGTGATGGGACACGTGTGGGAGCTGGGCTTGGCTTTGGTGTGGGGGAAGTTGATGGCACTGCAGAGGGATAGGTAGAGCTCGGCGGTAGAGCTGAGGGACCAGCTGAAGGAGATACTGAGTTGACCGTCGATGATGGAGATCCCGAGGAACCCCCTGATGGCACCAAAGAGGGATAGTTTGAGCTTGGAGGCAAAGCCGAGGGACCTGCTGAAGGGGAAACTGAGGTAGCCATTGCTGATGGTGAGCCGGACGGGCCAACTGAAGGAGACACTGAGGGTGCAATCGATGGAACTCCAGTTGGAGGTCTACTGGGCACACTTGTAGGAACAAGGGAGGGGGCATCAGATGGAGCATTAGTTGGTCTGCCCGATGGATAGCTTGATCCAGAAGGAACACTTGATGGTGTACTGGATGGATGCAAAGAGGGCATTTTTGATGGTGACAGCACAGGAGACGAACTGGGAGTGTTAGAGGGATAAATTGAGGGCACAATGGAGGGAGTAGTAGAGGGGACAGTTGATGGTTTGACAGATGGAACTTGTGATGCTGATGGGGCTACAGAAGGAAACAGTGAAGGTAGATTGGAGAGACGGGTTGAGGGGACCATCGACGGAACCATAGATGGAGACTGAGATCCTGATGGGACTGCAGAAGGGGGCAAAGTAGGCTCTGGGCTTGGCTGTGGCGTGGGCAAAATTGTTTGCACACTGGATGGAGCCATTGAATTGGATGGAACCATGCTTGGAGACCTTGATGGAGCTCCAGAGGGCAGCATTGCTGTGGTAGAAGTTGGCGAGTCAGATGGAGGCATTGAAATTGTGGAAATACGAGATGGAACGGATGATGGTGCTGCTGAGGGAGCCTCAGAGGTCAAAGGGACTCCTGTTGGCACAAACGAAGGATTGGAAGAGAGAAAAGCTGTTGGCGCTGAAACAGAAGTTGGTAAAGCAGAGGCTGCGGGGGTCACCGACGGAGCACCGGAGGGCGATTCTGTAGGCGAAAAACCGATAGGGTCTTGAGAAGGCTGCCCTGACGGTAAATCAGGACTTGAGAAAGATGGACTGCCGCTGGGCGCAACAGAAGGCAATGCTGCAGGTGATAGACCAGAAGGGCCCTGCGACGGCTGCTTTGATGGGAACACAGACACTGATGGGAAACTTGAGGGCCCTGCACTTGCATCAATTGGCGGGGTTGCTGTTGGAGTTTCAACTGGACTTGTAGTTGTTTGACTGCTAGGATCAAGACTGGGCAGAATGGATGGAATGCTGAAGGGAGAAGCATCAGGGGTTCTTGTTGGGCTCGGCGTAGGGGATGGAGTTGGAAATCCTGGCGTTACAGTTGGAGCATCGGTTTGAGTTGCTGTTGGGGCATCGGTTTGAGTTACAGTGGGAACATCTGTTTGAGTTGCTGTTGGGGCATCTGTTTGAGTTACTGTGGGGGCACCCGTTTGAGTGACAGTCACTGTGGGCGCACCCGTTTGAGTTACGGTGGGAGCATTCGTTGGTTCTGCGGTTGGAGCATCCGTTTGTGCTGCAGTTGGCTGGGAGGTAGGATCAAGTGTGGGAGGATCAGTAGGGTAAGCTGACGGAACACTGGACGGAGAAGCCTGGGGTGTTGCAGTTGGACCTTGACTTGGAGAACCAGTGGGAAACCCAGGCGTTACTGTTGGGGCATCTGTTGGCGTTTCAGTTGGAGGATCTGTTTGCGTTTCAGTTGGCGGAGCAGTTGGTGTGTCAGTGGGTGACACCGACGGATCATTGGTTGGAGATGCCTGGGGTGCCTCAGTTGGACCTTGAGTTGGAGAACCAGTAGGAGACCCTGACGATTCTGTGGGGGGCTGCGTTGGCGTGATTGTTGGGGTTTCAGTGGTTGGTTGAATACTGGGACTTGGTGTGAGAACCGACGGTGAAGTTGAGGGAGTAAAAGTTTTAGAAGGCCCGCTAGACGGTTGTTCCGTGGGGCTACGTGTTGGATTACCCGGAGTTACTGTAGGGTTTCTTGTTGGATTCTCTGTTGGCAGATCTGATGGGAAAGCCGAAGGTGTCAACGTTGGCTCTGGTGTGGGCTCGCGAGTGGGGGAACTCGATGGTGTACCAGAAGGACTTTGTGATGGAGAAGCAGTTGGAGATGGAGACAGAGGCACTCTAGTTGGGCTCTTTGAGGCTTGCACTGACGTTGGTGTAAGTGTCTGGGACCGTGTCTCACTCGTTGGATTCGCACTTGGTGCGGCGGTTGGCGACTTTGAAGGAGAAGTAGTTGTAGGAGAAATAGTCGTGGGCTCTGCTCCAATAGGATTGGTTTGGGTTTGGGGTGCCTTGGCGGGCGATGGACCAGCGTCGTTGTCTTTAGGCGCAGGAGATGGATTTGAGCTGGGTGTAGTCGACGGGTTTGCTGATGGATTTGACGATGGAGCTTTTGAAGGCGATTTACTTGGGCTGCCAGTGTCCATCAAACCCGCAGCGACAAGCGGCCGAGTGGGGGGAGGGACCCAGGTGGGACTGGTACTTGGGGCGACACTGGGCCCTCCTATCAACGCAGATTCTTCTACAGCTTTGCTTGTTGCCTCGACCACTTTTGGAACGATCTCCTGACACTCCTCCGACAACAGGTTACCAACACAGTCAACAACAGCCTCGGCAGCGCCAACTGCACTCGTCGTGTTTTTGATCACTTCACACAGCATGTCGGACCGTGATGATGACGCCGCATTGCTGTTGATGGGAGTTTCGAGACAGTCTTCGATAATGGCGAGCTCATCCGCCACAAACACAGCCACCAGAGTCCCATTGCTTTCCTCCACTTCCACTGTAGCTTCTACGATTTCCTCCTCGACAGTAGTCTCTTCCACAATGGCAGGGAACATGACGGGGATTTCCGGCACCGTAGGCGCTGCCGTCGTTGGAGCAGTGGTGGTTGGGCTAGCTGTGGGTGATCCCACTTTTGTTGTGGGTGCCAGTGTTGTCGGCGTCTCGGTGTTGGTGGGTGCTGGAGTTGGTCCGGGTGTTTCCACTGCGGTATTGGTGGAAGTGGCTTGAAATGTCACCGCGCGGACCACCTCTAGTTCCACCTCCAAGTCCAGTGTTTCATCCACAAGTGATTCGTCGCCACCGAAAATATAGTTGTTGTTCTGCTCTTCTACTACGAAATCGGTTTCATTCCAGAGGAGGTCGGTTTCATTCAAAATACTTGTCGTGTTACAAAGAAGGTCCGTGGAGTTCCAGTCTGTCCCGTTCCAGTCAGTGGTGGAGTTGCAAAGAATGGTCTCATTATTGAACAACAAGAGACCAAAGCCAGTCTTTTTTCGGAACAAGTCCTGCGCTTCCTCCCGTTCTTCTACTTCTTCGGTTGCCGCTGCTTGCAAAGCGGGCTTTAGTTTGTACCCAAACGATGCTGCAAAGAGTGGCAGCAACGTGGTTCGAAAGTTTTCTTGGTTTCTGCGGTGACGGTTGTTATTGTGTTTGGGTCCAAAAAAGAGGTCTGAAACCTTCTTTTCATGTTTATTGTTGTCTGCTTGTTGTTGTGATTCGTCCTCATCTGTGCTGACAACGACGTTTTGTCCAAACAATGGTTCGTGGTCGGGACACCCTACACAATTGACACGTCCTTGCCAAAACGTGGCCGTGATACTTTCCGACACGGCGTGTCGGTATTCGTCCAATGTCAAATTGTTCGATAAGGTTCCATTGTCGTTCGTGTAGACATCCAACCAGTCGGTTTCCCAGGCCACCAGGGTTGCTTCCTTGAGGACCCGGGCCATGGGATCCAGACACATTCCCGTGAGATTATTGTAGGTTTCCACAAATGTCGCCTCGAGGACGGGTTGACTGTTTTTCAGTACATTGGGTGGCAATCCTCGAATCTGTAACTCGACAAAACCAGTCTTGTTTTTCGATTGAGCACTGCAAACACCGGGAGGCAGATTGATGGTGGGGGCTATGGTGGGCACAAGACCATTCTCCATAATTGCAGTGCTGGGAATGTCTGTTGGCACGAGAGGACTCCAGGAGGGTGTAAATGTCCAGGAGTGACTGGAGGATGGACGTCCACCCGACAAGGAATAGGAGCCGTCCGGATCGTCGTTCCCTCCCGTCATGTAGACGACACCCCCCGCGGCAATCCCCACCAAAGCAATCAAGAGGCACACCAACACTCCCTGACAGGCACGGCTCGACAGGAGGTCTTTGTACAGCGGTTCCTCTTCCGAAAGGACCGACTCGGCATCCTCCTGTACTTCTTCCTCCTCCCCCACAACACTAAATGTGCGAGTGGAGCCTGCGTCTTCACTCAACGTGCCTTCACTGTCGGTTGTATCGTACGCCGAACTTCCTTCTTCCTCTAGCGCCAGCAAGGCATTCCCAATGCGCATCACATCTCGTCGAAACATAAATCGCCGTTCACCGTGTCGATACTTGCTCGTCATTACTTGTCGTCGTCGTGCTCGAGTGCGAGTAGTAGGAGCAGTAGTAGAAGACGAAGACGAAGAGTTTCCAAATTGCCTCAAGTACGATCTCCACGATGGCCTTGACGCCGCCCCTTCTTGATTGCGACGGCTAGAGTTAGTCGTCGTCGCTCGAAACAGATCCCTGGTGGACAATGACGCCCTATTCGCCGTTGCCACTTCGTCGACATCCAGTACCATGACGACATCGTCCACATCGACTTCCCTGCTGCCTTCGCCATTTTGTTGCCGGTTCGACATCATGATGCGTTTATTACTTTAGGCACGACTAGTCTAGCTATCAAGCAGGTGAGCAAGTCTTATGCTGAAGCAAAGCTAAAGCGATGCGAAAGAAAGCTTTGGTGCTGCTTTTGTAGACAACTCTTGTCATTCTTTGATGATATATATATATGCTGGTGGCAATCGTGGTGCGTTGCGAATATTATACAACAAGCACCACAAAAAGTGAAGGCACATCCACTCCGTCTAGTCGCGCGTAAATACTTTGAGCTACTCAAAGTGAACTTCAGGTCAAGGAGTTAATGGCTGTCTGCCCTGAGTGCTACTCTTTTTCCATTTTACGAACTTGTGCACCTCATGGGCTTAACCCGAGTGTTTCCACACTCGTGACAAAGGTTTAGCAACAGAGCTCCACTCGTGATTGCATTTCTTATTCGGAACTGGAAACGTTGAACCAGTGAGCGAGAAGGCATTCACTTGCACATTTCCTATTGTGCTGTTACAAGCAAGCAAGTCTGAGACTCAATCTAAGCGGACCTGCACTCAAACAGCAAGGAACAGACTTACTTGACCAACCATCTTTTTAGGCGACCCATCCCGCCGGAATGGATCCACGTGGGTGGTTGCTTGTACTGGATTTAAATCTCTCGACTAGACTACACCTACTAAGTAACTGGATCTTGGGAGATCAGGGACTCGATTTCTCGTTCTTGAGGTGCTAAGTCTTTGCGGGTTAGTTTGTGGAGGGCACAGCATCAACAGTTTTACCATGCTGGTAGGAGTGGGCGTTCTGATCTCTCCCACCAGAATGAATGATCAATCGAATGAATCGAATCTTCAATCCAAGCTCCGGCAAACCCCGAAAGGGCGGGCAGCTATCTCCGTACATGTAGCTTTTAGATACTGGTAGAGCTGGCCCGGTTTGTTACTACCTTTCCTCGTTTTCTGATAATTACTTAAGAGGATGCATAAAAACAGAATTAGAGGCCATTGAACGGATGGCGAGCCGCTAGAACAAGTTTTGACCTTAGAATACGGTACTAGACATCTAATGCTTCGAATGTCACCACTCTCGGATCACCAACAGCAAGCAGCAAACTCCAGCACAAACAAGCTGCAGCCGACAATGATGCACTCAATAATCGTCGGCTCCGTCGTCTCCGTCGGCCTCATCGAGCTGTCTAATAACATCCTCGTCCTGCGCAAACAGCGCCTGTTCATCATCTTGTGGAACCTCCGGTTCTTCGTCCAGAAGTACTTCTGTGGGCGGCTGCATTACGATCGGAACGATGATCTGTTTCCGAGCTTTGTCGACCAAGGTGTTGTCGCCATTTCCGGCCACAATGAGACGTAGTACTTTATCCCATCGCTTGTAGATGTTCCTGAAGGCTGCGTATGAGTTATAGCTATCCCATGCCTCCAGGACAGTTCGAGCCAATGCATTGGCATTTGATTTTGTTCGCAATCGATGGAGTTTTTCGACATGATTCTGCACTCCCATCCAAACACCCAAATCAAGAAGATTGGTCTCCGGACTGCGAGGAACCTGATGAAGGACCACTACATTGTGTTTCTCCTTCAGCTGTTGGACGTATTCGTCAATGCAATCCTTGGTTCCATGTCCTCCAGCATTGTCCATTACGAGAAAGATCTCTTGCTCATCGGGCACCCAATGATACGCTTTTCGGATCTCCTCCCCAATTTGGAGCATGTGCTCACGCATGAACTTGGAATCACATGTTGTGTCCTGCTCATATTCATCTCCCTTTCTTCGAACGTATTGCAAGTGGATGTCCTTCAGGTCGATGAAGCATTTTGAATTCCTTTGCTCGAAGAAGCCAAACCTGCCGAGGACCATTTCAGTCTCCTTCATAGTTATCCACTTGCGCTTTTTACCTCCTCCAGGGTAGGTGGGATACCTCAGTACCAGTCTCTCTCTTGTGGGTTGATCAATTCCCCAATGATGTTGGTTTTGTATCCTGTCGAGGAGTTGCCCTGCAGTCATCTGAATATCATCGTCGCGATGCAGTTGTCTCCACCCTTTGTGGATGTCATCGTTGATTTGGTAATTGTCAACGATCTGTTTGTAGAAGGTGCTTTTTTTGGCAACAACTGTTTCACTCACTCTTCTCATCATAATCTTTCCATCAAAGTCGTGTTCAGGATGAGGACAGGCCATGACACCCATGAACATCACCTTCTTGGTGAAGCGTCTACTGGAAACCCTTCTGGGAGGATACAGCTCCTCTGTGCTCTGAGTTTCACCTGGTTGCATTGGTAAAACCTTTCTCTTTCTCCGCTTGGACACCATATAGAACCACTTTTCATCAAGGAAGACGTAATATGGTGGTGCTGGGTGTGGTTCCCGGAAATCAATTTCTTCGACGCTGATGCTGTCGCTGTCGCTGTCACTATTGGTTGCACGTTGGGCTGCTCCCACAAGATAATGCTGATCCAGTTCTTTCAATCTCTCTTGAGCCCATGTGACACGTTGCTTTTTCTTCTCTTCTGTGAGTATCGGCCTTGTAACTGACGTGATCGATTTGCCTTGTCGTGCCTTGAACCAGTTTCGAAGCTGTCTCTCACTGATGCGTTTCAAGTGCTTTCCTTCGTTCACTTCCTTCTTCGACAGTCGGTACATTGTGCGGGCGATATCCTCGAATGATGCTTCATCCCCACCCTCTTCGATTGTCTGTGCTTGCCGGAAGAGTCGCAGTATGTAGCCAGGGTACTCGGCTTCAATGCTCTCGAGGTAAGCTCCACGAAAGTTTCCTTCTTTATATTGCAGGATGTTTGGCAAAAGAATTTCACCAGTGCTCAAAGACTTGTCAAGTGCCTTGTTCCATTTGCTGAGGTTGGTGCCCTTTGGTGGCTTTTCAAACCCAAAATCATACGCAACAATTCGACAGGCAGCATCAGCAATACCCCGTTTCGTTTTCTTGGAGAGTCCACGAGTGTTATATCCCCATCCTCTTGCAACACATAGAATGATCCATCGCATTGCTGAATGAGGGCGCTTCCTCGTCGCCATGTCTATGGAACCATCACCAAACCGAGACGGTCGCTTGTTGTTGTCGTCTCTTTTACTGAAATCGAGCTGTTTCGCCAGTGTCATTTCAGAAGGTTCTTTCCATTCGGATGGGTGCAGAGTATCCTCATACATCGAAGGGCTGAATGGATTGAAAGGGGGGAAGATATCACTTTCATCGTCGTCTTGAATCCAATCGTCGTCTTCAGGCAAAGGCCAGCTCTGCTCGTGATCAGCTTGGCTGTCGGTCATTGGTTCTTCCGGCAATGTACTTCCATTTTCGCTGCTGTCGTGATTAATGGTTGGGGTAAGCACTGTTTCAATCTCTTCGGTCTCCATATTGTCACTCTCACTTTGCCTTCGAACAACAACAGCAGCAGAGAAGGAGATGCGTCTCCTCAGATTGTTGGGTGTTTTGGTTGGCTGGCCAGATCGTTTGGCACTGCCGCTTCCTTGGTCGGACAAAGAAGGAGCTTCGACTGCTGGTGATGCGTAAGTGCAGTTCCAACTTTGAATCGCTTCTTTCAACTTGTTAACTCTACGATTTGTGGCCAATCCCTTTGTCACGTAATGAATAGGCGATTTCTTGTGGGCGTATCGCTTCAAAGTGTTGTCGGCATCCCCAAAGACAGGAGCATCTTGAAATGAGATGGTTGGGTTCATCTCTGTACTCCTTGGCTTGTTCTTGATAACAAACAAGAGCTCTCTTTCGATGTTGTTGTGCATTGCAACAGACTGCTTTGTGAAAGAAAGCTTGTGCTTTTTGAATCGATGATTCAATTCGATGATGGTGGCGTCATTACAAAGTTCAACCGTAACATTGCCATCAGCACCAGTCATCTCAGTGACGATAGAAACTACTAGTAGCATGTTGTAAACGATAGCATAATCTAGTTGCAAGATGGTACAGATTGAATTGTTGGCCACGGCTTGTTCTGGATGCCACGGAATAACAAACCAACGGCGATTGTGGAGCCGACAGAGCAAGTCTTCTAGCAAGGAAAGAGTTGACGCAACAACGAGTTGCTCGGCCGAATCGGCCATGGCTGCTTCCAACTATTGTGTCTAGACTACTGCTGCACGGCACAGGACAACAAGCAAGCTCTTTGATCTAATAATATTACTCGGCGCACCGGAGTCATATAGTCACCAAATGAAACAAGGACAACGAGCTGTGCGTCTCCAACCATCAATCAATGTTGGCTGCCTCCAACCATTCAGCGGCCTTCGTGTGAGACTTTCACTGCCTGCTCCGCGTATCTGAGGGCATCTCCAAAAAGAACTGCATCATCATTGTAGGGAAGGCGAAGGGTTAGCTTCGAGTATCCCTCCGTTGGAGGGAAGTCACAAACGATTCGGAGTGCTCTAGATTGGTTGTTGCTGCGAACCTTTACAGGTCGATTCATACTCCACACTTCGTCAACAGGCAGGCAGAAACTACCGATGGGACGATCGAGGCCGTCATCTGAGAATACAACCAATCGGAAGAGAGCCGTGTCTCCGAAGCGTTGTAGGCTGAGCGGCCCGCTGATTGTGTATGCATTGTCATTTGCAAGGACAAATTCCAATACTCCAACTGTTTCACCTGCCTCCTCGCCTTGGAGAGACACCACAGAACTCCACGTAGCTGGCATGATGAATGTTTTATGATGGAGAAGTGAGTTGCTCGTCCGAATCCATCGGTCACCGCGGTTCAAATTCAAAAGATCCCACATTCAAAGATTTTTCCCTCGGTTTTGGAGTGAAGCGGGAAGCGGGGAGACTCCATTTGATCGGCTCTCCACACATCCAGTGTCATAGTTTTCCAACAAGCAACATGCCAACCATCATCACCAGCAAACACATCCATATCTCCATCGCTCCTGCGAGTGAAAGGGCATCCAAAATGGAGTTTCTCACCGAAAGCGATTACAAGAAACTCAACAAAGCTATGAACGAAGCCATCGAGCTTGGAAAGACGGAGGACGCTAGCATCGATGTGGCTCTTGTCAGTACTGTGGAGTTTCCTGATGAGTCCTTCAAGACAATGATCGATTACCTCAAAGCGCACGAAGATGTGAAGAAAATTGTCGATGCTTCCAATGACATGATCGTCATCCAAACCACTGCCCGCCATATTGTCACTCTCCGCTTCTACGGAACCAAGAAATTCCTTGCTGCTGACCTTGATTACAGTATTTTCCCTGTCCCAGTCAAGAAGGAGGTAGCTGTCGCAGCGAAACAAGACGAAGAATGGTTCAAGACCCCCCCCCTTTTCGGCGGACGCAATGGACGCAATGGGCGCAACAATCGCCGTCAGCCTCGTACCCCGCCTTCGGATGATTCCTTCGAAGTTGAGCATGAGCTCTCGCAACTCATGACCCCTATCAAGGCAGTGAGTGCCAGGAAGCACAAATGAGAGCACAATGGACTAGTGGAGCCGTCTTTTCTGCCATCTTGAATCGGCTCATCGATCGATTGAGGTTGATGCTCTTCTTTGTTGTGCTGGTGTGAGCGCGCACGGAGGACCTCACGGACAAACATAGTATACAAAATGTTAAAGTAAATTTATTTGGATTATAGTCAAAACGTGAAGGGAGCCCCGGCGTAGCTCATTTCGACGGATAAACATTCGACTACCGTTCCTTAATTCTTGGATTTGGTTCCGAAGGCTTCGTCCCATAAGTAATTATCAGAAAACGAGGAAAGGTACGCTGGAGCCAATCATTTTGAAACCATTCAATTCAATTCAATTCATCGGTTCTTCTGCTGCCAGGCTTGTACGGTAGCCCCCATCGTGCATGATGAGTACTGTAGTCTACAGTGCTTCGTTCCAAAGGAAAGGTTTCTGAGGTGGGAAAACAAAGGCCAACAGCTAGCGTTCTCGGGGACGCAAGCTACTAGCTAGCTCTAGCTAGAGGTAAAGTATGCCAACAGCTGCAAGTTGTGTTGAGCTGCCTCGCAGGCTACAAAATTAATTGCTGCATGCCGGTCACACTTGAACAAAGCATGAACCGATCAACTGGACTCCCAGGATCTCTGGATCCTCATCAGACACAGTTAGTTTCAATCAGACGAGAACACCGGTGCTCGAGACAGCTCCAGCGATCGATACAACGGCAGCAGACGGAAGACGATAGAGCAACCAGCAAAGAGGAAGTTAGTCAAATTGTGAAAAACAACTCATAAAAACTAACATCAGCAACCTATAAAATAAAAATCAACGCAACACTTCCTTCTCATAAAGACTAAGCAATGCAGGACAGCGGCAGCAGCAACATGGATAACATGAAAAACCACACCAGCAGCACATCCTCCAAGAGTTCCATGTATCGAACAATGGTAGCTCGGACCGATTCAAGCCAATGGAGAGGTGCGGCGCGCAGCAAGTTGGACGCCGCAATCCAGGATGGATCCTCCTACTCCTCTAACCTTGTCGTCAAAGACGAAGAAGAACCAGCGCTCCGCAACTACAACGATAACGATAACAACAGTTCGGTCCAAGATGCTCCCTTGGACCGTGATGAGTTTTTCAGGATTGCCTCGTTCGTAGATCCTACAGTGGATACCGTCGAACCAGCAACTGATGAGGTACCTCTCAACGAAACCCCGCAAGAATTGGATTCGCAAGACTCGATGGCTCTGCGTCAGGCAAACAACATCGAGCAAGAAGAAGAGGAAGACGATGGTGACGAGGAGGATCCCGACGGAGAAACAGAGTCGAAACAAGACACGGCCACTACCGAAGCGGAAGAACCCGAAATTCCATACAAATACTTGAACTGGGAAGAGGATATAATGGACGACGTCGAGTTGGGAAACGATTCCCTCTATGATCATATTGGCGAAGTGGAAATGGATAAGAATGCGTTTGAGAAGGCCAGAGCGCGGGAGGAGTACAACACGCGAGAACGTCGCAAGCAACTGCGAAGACAAGAATGTCTAGCTGTGGTTGCCTTTGTGTTCACTGCAGTCATCGTGTGCGTAACGATTGGGATCGCTCAAGGCAAATCTACTAGCTCCCCGAAGGATTCAATCAAAGACGTAAGATTATGCAGAGCGGTTGACGTTGCATGTTTTCTTCTGAATGTTGGAGGTCTCACATTTTTTTCCCTGCTCAGTTCACTGGATACATCGAACCACTGGAAGATCCGAATATTTTTAATGCGGGAGAGGTTACAGTTAAATTCCCCGAAAACGTGATTGTTCCGGAAGGAAGCAAAGTGGTACACATGGTCTATGATGGCCCAGACTGCAGTGGGACTTTCCGTGATGGAGCTTCCAATGATATAACGGGCCAAAACAATTTCGTGAAAGTTGGTTTGTACACTACAGAGCAAGCTCAGCCAAGATCCGCTGCATTCATGGGTGTGTTTCTTGAGTGGGAGACGAGTCAAGTTGAGCAGTCACCTCTCTACCGCCGTTGGTCGTCCAATGGTGAGGCCCCTTATGGAACAATGGACCTTTGTGTTGGGTTGGGTATTATTGACTCGGACGGCAACCAACTCCATCACGAGGAAACCTACATATTGACCACGTGGCTTGGCTCGTACCTCCAGAAAGTCCGAACGGTCCCAATCACCCCAGACGAATGATCAATCGCAACCCAACTAAAACCGAGACGTTCCTTGTGCCTTCTGTGCTGCGCTGTACTTCATGCTTCCTCCACTTCCCATTTTCGCAAATCCTCCCGCATGGCCATGCAGTGCTACATCTCTTCCTGATACACTACTAGTAGACTACATTCTCATCCGTCATATCAAATAGATTACTGTTTTGCACGCATGACAACAAACGCTGCAAGGCCAGAAAGAACACGCTGTCAACGTTGCAAAATCCATCCATGTATGAACCTAAAATAAATGTTGGCCTCGTTCATTGATGCATCTACGATATACAACCATGATCTTCCCTTTGGAGTCAATTCTAGCACAGAGCTAATACTATAGGACATGCAGTTAATGAGCTACCAGTTCCAATATTCAATCAAATATATGCAAGAGAGTGCTGCCAAGACCTTCTTTGGTGAGACAATGTCTTGGTATTTTAGGCTGCTTGGCCAGGAAAAAGTGGAACCGGGACGAACCATCGGGGATTTCCAGATCATCACTTGTAGATCTAAACCCAAATGTCTTCCTGCGTCACTGATGCATCGGAGATCCCAATCGACATCATTTCTGTCACTTCAGCCAACATGTCAGGAGTTTGGGTCTTCTTTTTGGAGGCAAAGGCACTTCGAAACCAGCCGAGTGGCTTCTTGTCTTGTTTGGTTGACTTCTTGTGCCCAGTCTTCTTGCTGCTACCTGGCTTCACGACGATTGACTCTTCCACTGGAGACTGGCTATGAAACAGAGAAACATCTTTAGTAGAGGAGAGGCTGTCATCATCCTCGCAGCTCTTGGCCACAACAAACCAAATCAAGTCCTTGCTCTTCTGAACTTCATCTTGCTCAAATCCTTGGGCCAAGTAGGCATCAGAGACTGGCAGAAACTTAGGATCCGAACTCATCTCTAGGACCATCTTGGCATGCTCCATGCAAGCCTTGAGATCTTTCTTTGTGACAGTTACTGGTTTGGTGTAGGCTGAACCAAAATCCCACAAGTGCCTAGGCTTCGGTTGCTGGTAAGCATCCTTGCTGCTACTGTACTTCCAAAGGCCGCTGTGGAAATTCAGCTTGTAGTGAGACATCAGCTTGTAACCTTCATTGGCAATGAGATTGACAGCATCAATCATGTACTTGACAGTCTCTTCACTCATGTAGTAAGAGAATGCCACACGAGTCCATCCTGGTTTGAGTGCATCACCAAGGTCTTTCATGGCACCAAAAATCCTGTCAGATTCCACATTGTCGATATCCATCAAGAGGTGTCCATACGGCATGGCACAACTGCACCCTCCACGAGCCTGAATACCAAAGAGGTCATTGAGCAAGGCCACAACAAAGTTGTGGTGGATGAAACTTCCACTGGTACCAGGGGCTTTCACCAGAAAGGATACAATGGGCACTCGCTTTGCATCAGTGTTTCCCAGAAGTACAATGTTGCTGTTCTGCTGCCAGGACTTGAATGCCTTCCGCAAAAAGTTGTTCTCGTGTTGTTCAATCCAATCACCGCCAACTTTGTGGTGGAGCCCAAAGACCAATCCACAACGAATTGATTCAACAATGGCTGGAGTTCCACCTTCTTCTCGAGTCTCAATGTCATCAAGATACTCATGGTGGTGGGGCTGGACAAAGTTGATAACTCCCCCACTGGGAACGGTAGGGACAGCATTGGTGAAAAGGGAACGGCGGGCAATCAGGACTCCTGGAGTTCCCGGTCCTCCAACAAACTTGTGGGGAGATAGATAGACTCCATCCATATCATGTTCTTGGAGATCAGTAACCACATGAGGTCCTGCAGCAGCAAAGTCCCAAACAGCCAGTGCTCCATGCTCATGAACCAACTTGGTCACAGTCTTGGTATCGCATCGGATTCCTGTCACATTGGATGCCGCTGAGAAAGAGGCAAGTTTGAGCGGGCGGTCTTTGAAGAGAATAAGCTGCTGGACAAGTTCCTGTTCATCCAACAAGCCTGTGTTGGGATCTTGAGGGATGACAACACAATCAACATTGCCACATTCACGCCAGAGCAGTTCATTTGAATGGTGCTCTTGTGCGGAGATGAAGACAACCCCACGCTGGGAAGGTTCCTCTATGGAAGCAGCAAGAGGTGAAATCCCCATGACAGCAGCCAGCTTGTTCATGGCAGCAGTGGATCCAGATCCACAGAAGATGACAGCATACTCATCCTGGGGGGCATTACAGGCTTCTCGAATGGCACCACGAGCATCTTCACGATAGGTGGTAGTCTGCAATCCAGTCTCAGATGCTTCGGTGTGCGTGTTAGCATAGAAAGGCAAAACACACTCTTGGATGTAGTCTTCAATGAGGGACAAGGACCGTCCACTGGCAGTGGAGTCAGCATAAACAATTGGTTTGGGGCCAAAGGGACCGTTGAGTACATGACGTTGGCCTCCAATGATGCTCTTGCGGATAATCTTGCTGTTGACAATGGGTTGAACGTTGATCTTCATTGTCTCAAAGCTAAAGCAGGAGAAGGGTTTGTGAGAGAGGAGATTTTTCCTGGTGTGCTTTCTTGGTTGAAGAAATCAAAATTATGAGCTGTTATTAAAAGCGCTGCCAAAAGCGCTGCCAAAAGCCTGCAGAAAGCGCTGCCAAAGCGCTGCGAGACTAACCCGCGCCACGGGACCGTACACATTCGACCAAAAAATGTAGCGGGAGATCCGGTAAAAATTTAAGGTTTCATTTTTCAATTCACTGTGTTTAAAAATATTGTTTTACCACAGCTACCAGTGCCTGAAACCCAATGCAGTTTTCGAAGCGGCCCTAACTAAACTCCATCGAAACCCTGTCGACGCAGTCGAAGTTGGCGTGGGGACATAAACTCTATATAATTATATATATTCAGTACACAGTAAAACGTTCGGATTTGGCGTGGCGTCTCCTTCGGAAGGATAATCGCTTCAATGACATCTTCAAAGGAAATGGCAAGGCAAAAGTTGCGTTGTTCGGCCATTTTGACATCTTCAATACATTCACTTTTAAAAAATCCGGAATAGATGGTGCTTGACACAACTTGGACTTTCTAAGCCCATCGCGGAAAACAAATGCGTGTAATGGGCCCACCGCACCTGCGCTCTACGTGCGCTTACCGGACGTGCAAGAAGTTATGGTGGTGGGTTGCTGCATGCTTACCGGTATTATCGAAGCAACAAGTACTATCGAGCTCATTGCTGGCTTCGCAAAGAATTCAGCACCAGAAGGTGTTGCAGATGTGTTGATTCTTATTAATTAAGTTGCCACGAGAACACTACAGTCAGGTGCATTGCAAACCATTCGGAAGTGGGCCTCGAGTGTCACGGTGGCGAGCTCTAAAGTTTTCAAGAAAATTGACCGCCACCGACCTCAAAATTCCAAAGCTACTACTCTACGTACCTGGTACTGTTATTAGACTATTGTACCCGTACCGTACCGTACCGTACCGTACCGTACCGCAGACATTTATTTTCAGTGCACTCGTATTAATAACTACTCAGTACCATCCTTGGGTTTATTAATACTACTGTAGTACCAGTAATGAAAATGTCATTACGCGTGTACTTCACACCATTCATAAGTACGGCACGTTTGAAGTTTGGATACAAGACTTGAGCTACAATTCAGTACCAGGGTTCGCTAACCGGTTTTTTCGGTTACCGGTTATTTGCCATTTGGTTACCGGTTGAATGATTTGGTTACTCAACCGGTAACCGGTAACCGGTACCCTAACAGAACTGGTTACTCAACCAGTAACCAGTAACCAGTACCCCGTCGACTGGTTACCTAACCGGTTACCGAATCGGTTACTCAAATTGCCGTTTTGGTTACCGAATCGGTTACTCAAATTGCCATTTGGTTACCGGTTGTTTGATTTGGTTACTCAACCAGTAACCGGTAACCGGTACCCTAGCAGAACTGGTTACTCAACCAGTAACCAGTAACCGGTACCCTAGCAAAACTGGTTACTGGTTGAGTAACCAGTAACCGGTACCCAACCAAACGGTTAGCGAACCCTGTTCAGTACATAGGGAAGCTCACCATGCACGTGTACCGTATATCATACATGTATCGGTACTGGAAACTGGTACTACATGTATTAATAGCTCGTGAGATTATAGTATGCATAGTTGCCACAAACAATCCAACAGAGTAAAAGCTCAATCATGTACCGGTATCTTGCTCAGAGGTGGTGCACTTCTGGCACACCGGTACACCCGGTACACCGGAACAGCAGTACCTGGCACCATACAAGTCAGGATTTTTAATCAGCATCTTAGTCAGGGGAGTGTCAGGGGTTCGATGTACCTGTGCGGTGTGTTATTACCGGTACTCGGTACAGTATTACCAGTCAGGGCTTTCAAATTGATTACATGTATACTATTGACATCCTTCCTTGACTGAAGAGGGTGTAATGTTTTGTGATCCTTTAAGCCATCTGTTGAGTTGGGTTGGTACCAACGTTCTACCAGTATTGACGCAGCCTGACGCACCAGCACTGTGCTGGTACTACCGTTAGACAATCAAAGGTCGGTTGTTGAGACGACCGGATAAACAAGGTCGGTTCGTGGCAGAGAACTGGTTTGATTGGATCCAGGGATCACTCTGAACCGAAGAAGCTTCTTTTCTGTGGTCTTTAGCTAAATTCTTTTGCATTTTTTGCATCACCACAGACTGGAAGAGGATTGCACAGCCCCTCAAGCATGGTGAGGTATGCATACAGCTGCTGAAGGTCGAAATGATGGATAAAAGGTCATCAAAAAGAATCATCAAAATCAACCGCATTGTCCATCTTTAGCGGAAGTGTACGGTGAAGGCTAGCTATCACTGAGTCGAGTCTTGCTATTTTGGGCCGATTTCATGGTTGTCTTGCGTGCCTTCGCGAAGCGATGAACGGCACACCAGGAGCGTCCCTCAATCGTGGGTGAGTTTTAAATCCGACCCAAATCCGACCCTAAATCTTTGAACCCCGACCCTAATTCCATGTAGCAATAGGGTCGGTTTTGAAACCCGCCCCTAAATCGAAACCCGTCCCTAAATTAGGGACGTTTTTTCAGAATCCGTCCCTAATTTTAGGGTCGGTTTCGAAACCCGACCCTATTTTAGGGTCGGATTTCAATGTATTTACCACTCAGTCCCGCTTCCATTTAGGGACGGTTTTCAAACCCGCCCCTAAATCGAAACCCATCCCTTAATTAGGGACGTTTTTTCAGAATCCGTCCCTAATTTTAGGGTTGGTTTCGAAACCCGACCCTAAAGGGGAATCCGCCCCTAAATCCGACCCAAAATTAGGGTCGGTTTTCGATATAAGTCATGCACGATTGAGGAACGCTCCAGCTGCCAGTGCTCAGCCCCTGAGGGTCTTTCGCACTTTATGTGTGTGTGTGTTTGTTGCAGCTGTTTTCGTCACATAAGGGACACTTGCTTCGTTAAGGAAAGGGATTAATATTGTGTGTTCTGTTGGACACAGTAGTTTGTACAAGTGGGTACCAGTACTGGCTGGCTATGCAGACTTGCTAGTGTGTCCAGAAAAACACGGTGTAGGTTTGGCCAAGGACATAGGGGCCACTTTCCTTGTTAAGGATAGGGATTGTTATTGTGTGTTCTGTTGGACACAGTAGTTTGGACTCATGGGTAGATACTGTCTGGCTATCGAGACTTGCTAGTGTGTCCAGTTGAACACGGTAAAGGATTTGGCCAAAGACATTTTAAGAGTCAAATCTCTTTTTGACAGTTGAGGGCATCAGCCTCCGGCTGCTTATTCTTCTGAGAGAAATACTGGTACTAGCTAGCTGGTGCCAGAGTAGAATGTTGTCTGGCGAGAGGATACGAGAACTACAAGCCAGCAGGGAAGGCATGCACCGACTGTGACCCCTTCCCTTGGCTGGCTTGCTTCTACTTTCTCCACACTCCACTGCAGTCGCTTTGCTCAAACTTGATGCAGACATCAAAACAGTTTTTCAAACAGGACTAGTTGACTTCGCAGGTACGTTACTACGTTCACTACTCTTGAATCGGGTTGTGGCAATGAGAAGATTGAAGATTCGGTTCATGATGAAATCCAAGCAAACCTATAGTGCAAAAGCTGTGCATTCATATCAAGTGCTGGCTTTGCGTTCTCAAAGATGGCAATAACTCCATCGACTAGGACATTCTTGCAGGAGTCCAAAGAGGACATTTTGGAGCTGAAGTTTAGTCAATTCACCATAACAAGAACAATCACCATCTGCATTTCTGTTTGTAGTTACGGCAGCAATCACAACATCGACAAAGTCGTTGAGGGTTACTCGAGGATTCCGAGCCTTGGCTCTTCCAAACCGATTGAGCCTCGTCCAGAACTGAACTCGTTGGCCTTCTAGAGGCAGCTCCGCCTCCTTTTCCACATGAGGGATGCAGATGCATTCCAAGGTGGCATTTTGTTCCACTAGTACCTTCGTGAGTGGTTTCCACAATGCCTTTGTAAAGACTTGTGCTTCAAAAGAAGTGATGAGGTTCTTTGCGACATGGCAGGATCGAAGGGTTTGATTCTGACAAAGTCCCATTCCCAGATAGTGCAAGCATCTTTCGGTACCCGACAAGTCCGGAGTGCTGGAAAAGGCATGATCAGGAGCTCCAAAGTCAATGGCCAGTCGCTGCAGTGACTTGTTTTGTCGAAGTAGCTGCTGGATGGTGGAACACGCAAAGTCATCCCGTGACAACAGGTTGGGTGGCAAGTGGAGATCGAGTTCGAGTAGCTCGTTCTGATGGTAGAGTTCCACCATGAAATGGACAAAGGCTCGTTCGGACCATTGCTGTGGTGTACAACACAGGGTCCGTATCTGTGGAAAAATCTTGGAGATGAGACGGGCATGCTCCAGTGTCATGGAACCGTACATTCTCCGACGAGAAATCAATTCGCCTCGTTGGCGTCGAGCATTGTCATTGTTGAGGGGAGTCACAACTCGCTCGCCGAGTTGCAAGTCGGTGACATCTTTGGGAAACCGCGCAATGAGGCAGTGAAGGACATCTCGTTTCGTTTGTTCGCAGTTCAACGCGAGTAACAAGGGTAATCCAAAGACACATTCCACTTTCATGGATTGCGGAAAAATGTCCAGGAGCGTGTGGACTTCGTGGAGCGTGACACACCGCTGTGGCCTTCGCAAGAGCCGATGCAAGGGCAAAAAGTCGTCTAGATCGGGCATTTTGACCGCATCGGCATACGCCTGTGCCAAAAAGATCACTACCGGTACCGACGACTTGGATAGTTGCGAACAGGCCAAGTGGAGAGGATAGTCGCCTTCGAGTGGTGACACGGGCTGCGAAAGAGCTTCCGGGTTCATTTCAAAGACTTCTCGGATAATCTCCAGACTGGCCCCAATTTCAATAGTAAAGACTAGTGGATAAATGGAAAACTCGTCGCCCCACAATCCCACGGTACGTCGGAATCGGTCCCGAGCCAGGACTGGGTTTTGTCGCAACAAGTGCAAATAGCGAGGAGGATTTAGTTCCAGGTCATTGCTGAGTGGATGTGACATGGACGGTTCTTGCTGCGGTGTTTCATCTCGAATAATGGCTCCTAGTTTGCGACGTGCCATAAGTAACCTTGCTGCCTTGAGTGCCTTTCGAGGTCCTCGTCGTCCAGGACGGTGTGCTGCAGGTAGTTCACATTCTGGACGAGCTGTTGCGACGAGACTGTCTTGCTGCTTGTCGGATGCAATAGTCATGCTGATACAGCCAACTAGTCTAACTGGATGGTTGTGTAGGAATATGCTGGTCTATCAGTAGCTAGCTAGGTCGATGGATTGACCTTATCTGTTGAAGGGTGTCAATTCCAGAGCTCTGTTTACCAGCAGCAAGGAAGCTCAGCAGAGAAGTGGTTCAGATTGAGGCAAGTAAAAGGGTTTTGTTGTGTTTCTTGTCTTGCATAGTCTAGCTAATCGTCGTCATTGGGATAAACCAAGCCCCTCCTTCATTCAGACCTTGAATCCTTTTGCGAGTCGGGTCATCGTATCTTTTGTTCCGTCTTAGGGAAAAGTGTGGGTCTGAAGTAACATTTAGTTTGTTGGTCGCACCTTAGCTCCGTCGTCCAGCAGCAACCACAACATCGGCACCTCAACAAGAGCCAACCAACAAGGCATCAACTTGTCAGAGCTGTTGCCGTTGATAGACTTACGGAGCAATAATACTGTGTCTTAGAGGTAAGAATGGCTAGTGGATACGGTATCCGAGGTGGCATCGGCCGATGCTATCCGTTCTACGCGGATTTCAAAAAGTGCATGGTAAGTACTGGGATCTTCACCCTGCCAATGGGATGGTCACCCTACCACAGGTTGCATTAGTTTTCCAACCTCTGTTTGGTGTTGTATTTTGTATATAGAGCCAGCGTGATGAGAAGAGTCATCCCATGCTGTGTTTTGCGGAACGTGAGGATTACTTTGAGTGCCTTCATGGCCGCAAAGAGCACAAGATGATTGCCGACATTCAGGCACAGGAGCGAGTCATGGCCAAGCAAGGAAGACGATATGCCGATCAGGAAAAGGAGCTGCAAAAGCTGGCCGCTAAGGGAAGCTAGCATTCAGAATAGATTCGATTCAATCATATCGATGGCGAGAGGAAGGAAAATCACCATGTAACAAAGTTTTTTTGGAAATCATCTGGTAGGAATCCCAACCAATGCATCTCCGTTCTTTGGTGGCAGTGCATGCCACCAATAGTAATATGCAAAGCAAGTAGCATGTGGTGTTGTTCACTCACGTAATTACTAGAATTGAAAAGGTATATGTTCTGTGGGATATTTTGATGTTTACATTACAAGTATCTAAAAGTAAATAAATCAATCAAAATCTAGAGTAATTACTATTGGATTCAGACTAGAAGTGCTTGAGGACGACGCATTGAGCCAAGGCCCAGGTGTTTCCCAATTTCACATCCACTCACCGGCCGCACTGGCCTCCTTGAGAGGGTGTGACGCTACATTTCAAGTATCTCAACAACGACCAAGGATACCGTTACTACTTTATCGTAACTTGTAGAGGCCTTTTTATCTTCGGAGAAGGAAGAAAATCAATAGTGCTGGTGTGGTTATCGTGAGATTAGAATTTGGCTCATCCAGGTAGAGGTTCTTGAACGACCGTCTTTCGTGCCCTACGGGGAGCTAGCTAGACTAGACTAAACAAGACACCAACACCTCAATCAGCATCATAGCGGGGTAAAGTAAAATGAAAGTCGTGTGCAAATTCGCGTTCACCGTGGAAAATTGTGCTTTCGATAAACCAGTTCAGAGTGCTAAAGCGGAACGTGTTTGAAAGCTGTTTCGAACCCCGTTGGAATGTCCGACTTTGGTTGCCAATGGCAGTGACGAGGATTGATGACAGAAACGGGATGAGGTGAGGACCGTTTCCGCCAATTCATCCCTGTCTCCCAAGTTTAGACAATCGGCACGGGGCGCTTTGAGTTCGTTTCTAGAGGTGCAACGAGAAGTTTGAGGACCGTTTCCAAGTTGGGGATCGTTTGCGACGATCCAATCTCCTGAATCCTTGTGTTGAGTGGACGCCTTCAGCTCACAAAATTAACTTGCTTGGCTCACAACAAAACCAATCACACAACAGACAATCGATTCTTTCATCCATCTCAGCAACAACTAAAAGCATGACATCTATTCACCGTGGAACCAACACAGCCAATGGCGCAAACAACAACATGAAGCTCTCCTCTGAAACTCCAGCTTCCTTTGCTTCAGGTGGACTTGTTCAGCAACGGAAGGACAAGTTGGAGGAAGTGTGTGCTGCTCAACGTGGTCTCAAGATTGTCAAGAAGAGCAAGTGGCATGTCGGTGGATCTGGTTATGGCTCTGGTGTGTACAAGAAGAAGACGGTGGTCCGCTTTGAAGATTCCAATGGCAACAAGGTAGTACCCCTTGTCAAGAATATTGCCAAGAACTATGGCAAGAAAGAATAGACCTGTGTTGGTAGCACTGGGATAGGAGTCGATTGATTCATTCATTCACTCCAGGAGCGTTCACAGCCACAGGTGATGTTGTCTAGCTAGTGTACCAATCTCATAGCCCAAGAGAACACAGGAATGCCGGAGCTCTGGAACTTTGGACCTTCCTAAACTACCACCAAAGCCCTAACTAATAGAATCCATTGTTTGGCCAGTTGCCACTTCTTGTTGCCTTATTCTACATGCATTTGGCATTCAGACATGCGTTCCCTATCTCTTACTTCTTTCTTCTCCCACTTCAAGAGCCCTTCACCAAACTGGCCAAAACCAGACTTCCATCAGCATCATGTCTAAGTGCAGTACAGCCGTACATGCTGGTCGATGGTCGTCGTAACTCTTCTTCCGTCTCACGGCAAAGTGTGGGTCTGAAGTAAATTTTCCTTAGTTTGATCGCACTTTGGCCCCGAAGGATCGATGATTTTTCGGAAGCACCTTGCAAAACTGAGGAAACGGCAAAAAGTCGTCTGATAGAAGTCCTCGTGTCTTCAAACATCAACCATATTGTCACCATGACACGAAAACTGCTGCTATCCTTGCTTCTTCTCACTACATTTCTGCTTGGCGCTGTCTTGGCTGCCCCGTCTCAGAGCAGTAGCAGCGACGATGATGACGACTCGGTCGATGAAGTAGTGGAGCGGGACGGAGAAGCCATGGAGCCCGTGTTTCAGCAGGCTGCGGCAGGTGGTGGCAAGGTCAAGGTTCAGTTTTATGGCGAATCGCAGTGTCCCTTTTGCCGCAAGTTTGTGACTGAGACGTGGAATGACATTTGGAGTGACAATGACTTGAAAGCACTAATCGACTACGAATATGTACCATGGGGTAATTCCTATTTTGCCACGGAAGCCTGTGGGAAGGGTCCCTACAGTCCAGGAGAACGAGCCTGTTTCTATGATCATTGCATCTACAAGCTACGCACGTTTGGAGCAGATGATCTTACCACAGATGATGATTGTTTCAAGGGAGATGTCGTCTATCAGCATTCCGAAAAGGAAGGACAGGGTGAGTGCAGAAAGAAGAGCCATTGGTGGTAGACTTTGGTGATGAAAAAGAAATGATCAAGCCAGGAACACTCTTTCTAAATAAGCTTGATCCTAACCTCTTTCTGATCTCTCTTCCCCATCTCTATCATTATTATTATAACACAGTGGATATCTATGAATCCTGCATTATCCAGAATGACGGTGTGGACAAGGCGGTGGCATTTACGTACTGTGCCGAAGGAGACTTGATGGACAATACGGAAATGTCGGCCCACGAATTGCTGATGGAATGTGCCGCCGATGCCGACATTGACGTGGCTGCCACGCAAAGTTGCGCGGATGGACAAGGACGCGATATCGAAATTGCCAATGCCAAAAAGACACCCGCCCATCCCGGAGTCCCCTATGTGTTGGTGGAAGGAATCGCCGTCCCCGATGCCAATGGTCAAACCAAATTGTTCCTGTGTCAAAAGTTGGCCGAAAAAGGACATCATCCCAGTGCCTGTAGTAGCAACCACAGTGATCGTTTGCTAGAGCATGGCACTGCTGGGGCGGACAAGTTGTGGTGGAAACAAGCGACTTGGTGAGGAGCGAATTTGATGGACATTGGCCGAACATGGACATGGCAGCATTTTGGAGTTCGTTGATTGATTTGCTTCTAAACAAGAATGGCCTGCTCTGTTGCATCATGGTGATACTATGTAGGAGACAATTCGTTCAGTTTGCTGTTGCTAGATTCACGTCTCCATTCCTTGGACAGGTTCTTTACTGGTAGTCGAGCAACAATAGACTAGTACTAGCCAGCTACAATTCACCAAATCTACAGTTGTATACCTTAAACAATCTGCTACCTCGCAACCTACGGTATTGATCATGATCCACATTTGCTATCCTAGTAGGTTGCAGTTGTTGTTGTTTCTTCATTCATTCATCCATTCAATTCATTCACTCCTCTGGCACCACAGATATCTTGATAGCACCCTTGATATCTTTGGCCAGTGCAATTTGTGCTCCAAAGTCTCCTAGTATCTTGATATCTTGTCGCATCTTTTTGCCATTTTCATCCGTCACAGCCACCACCTTGACGGCCTTGCTTTTCAAGAAATCGGCATGACTGGGATCCGATTTTTGCAATTCTCGCAGAATGACCTTGCCGCCAATTCCACCAAACAAGTGGCCCTCGGGTCCTGCCTTGCGTTTGATTTGCAACACTTGCGCTTCCAACCATTCCTTGACGGCCATAGCTTCCGCCTTTTCTTCAGCTTCGGCGGCGGCTTTTTCCGATTCTTCTTCGGCCACTTCCTCGTCACTAATTATTTGGGCGGATTTCGTTGGTCGCAGTTTGTTTTGGAAAAAGGCCGGTGTCACCATTATCACGGCGCCTCGTTGGCCCGTTCCGGGAACGTCCTTGAGCATTTTCACTTGAATCTTTTTGGTGGCGGCACCTCCTCCCCCTTTCTTTTTGGCCATGGCAAGGGCTGTGGGAGGGGAAGTTTGGGATTGTGAGAGTAAAAAGGCTGTTGTTGGACATGCCAAGCACATCCAGCATAGGACAAACAGCAGCGTTGTTGTATTCCTCTTCATTGTTTTCGTTTGGGAGTCCCAGGGGTTGAGAGATTGTAATGAGGTTGGGTGTCCGGTATGGATAAGGGTGAATGGAGGATAGAGGATGGAGAGGGTGTGGTGTGCCGTTGATCGATGGCTGAAAGATACCGGCCGATTTTGATCATTCTAAGTCAGCAGGCTGTGAATGTCAACAGGCAAAAAGATCCAAAAAGATCCAAACCAAAACAAAAGCCAGAACACTTGCAACGTGGACAGAGAGGACAACACTCGGCCAAGTGAGGACAGCCACCGAACACCACCAAGAAAACAGTGTGCTGTAGCTAGCTAGCTAGAGCTATAGTTGCCAGTCAAGATGGACGTGTCCAGTGACAGCAACAAGAAACGCAAGGGTCCAGAAGGGACAGCAGTCAGTGCAGATCTGATGGATCCAGTGATTCTTTTGCAGAAGCTGCTGCAACAGGCCCAGGAACCTGACCCGGAGCCCCAAACAAGCCTCACGTGTCGCCGCAAGCAGATTGTCGACATCAATGATGGATTGAAAGGATTCCTCCAGCTGAAGAAATCTCTGGATGACTGTGTGGAGAAAATAGTCAAAGAAAAACGGCAAAAGGATGAGACTGTCCTGAGAGCTCTCCTTGATAGCTTTTCGCCCCTGTTGTCACTCGGTGCATCCACAGTTTCCAAGATTTTGGACTTTCTGGATGAGGAGACTATGTTAGCAGTTGAGAATGCATCCATTACAATGGCACAAATTATCAATGATTGTGACCATTGGCCAAGGCTTTACCAAACTCTGATGAAAACCAGGCCCATCAAGGACATTTTGCCAGAGCGGATCCTTGACTTCTACAGGTACACGTATGATTGCTCTCGATATTTCAATTGCCTCAATTGCCTTCATGATGAAAAGATTCAGAAGGAAGCCGAATTCCTTCGCTGCATTGGAGATCATGCTATTGCAGCCAGAAAGCTGGAATTGAAGGGTGAAGAACACTACAAATATGACAACAGAGGGTCTCAAGAGGGAGACAAGCAACGGAAAATACAAACCGTAGCAAATCCTTGGTTTTGCTTTGTGAAAGGATCAAAAATAGAGCCAGACTGTTTTGTCCGCATATCTCGCGTCCAAAGTCCCAGGAACGATCCATTGCTCATCGTACAAGGTTTCGGTGAGTATTTTTTCCCAGAAAAGTGGTCGATCGGATCAGTAGGGAGAAGGGAGAAGGAAGCCTCTTTGATGAACGATGCAGATGGGGATCTCGGCTTGGACCTGTCGCGCTGGATTCCATGTCTGGTGGGAGGTGGAAAGGAAAACTATGAAGGACTTTGGCCTGAACTAAAACAGTTTTGGACATGGAATATGCAAGCAACCCAGTCTGAGCGAAAAAGGCAAGCTTCTACCAAGGCCAAGGAGGTCTTTCAGAATGTACGGGTTTCAATCACCATGGAAAACAAGCCAGCTCTCACAACGGGATCCTTTGTGAAGATTGATTCTGACGGAAATGGCTGTAGAATCACCCTTGAGCATAGGGGTGGCAAGGCTTATCGGGGTGGCAAGGCTTATACCGTACAAACATCATTTAGCTTGACGAACAAACAAGGTAGACACAAGGCACAGCTCTTGCTTTCAATGCGCGTGTTCATCGACTAGATGTACAATCAAGTCCACTTTGAGTCCATGGTTAGGAGAAATGCCGCCACGACCATATGGCTTGACACTTGATGGGATAAGTGACAGCTTTCAGTTGGAGTTTGAAACGCAACCATACTATTTGTTGGTGATGTGTACTCTGCTTCTAAATTTATAGAATTTGCATTGATATTTGCGTATTGTACAGGAACACCGTCATCGGTCTAGAGAGTTGTCCTTGACTCGTAATTTGGAATCAATATCCAAGTACCAGCCGAAAACAGTTACTCCTCAAACTCTTGGCCAAGGTTTTCAGGACATGTTTTGGAACAACCTCTATGGTACCAGAGACCTTGATAGTAGTGACTCTGATGATAGTTGGAGTGCCTCTGACGAAGAGATCGACCGGAGCCACAACAAAACGGTGCCTTTCCCCCTACTACTAGAATGATTCAGTCAAGTCTGCAATTTCCACTCCCACGAATGTGCACGCACTTTTGAGGCAACAAGTTTGTGAGATGGTCTTCATCTATCCCGTGCATGGTCACGTTGTATGCCACCTTGAACCAGCCGCTCTGCCATGGTGCTTCTCACCATTTCTTGAATTCATGGAGCTAAAGCAAACATGGCAATCCGTGATTGTCAACCAAGGTAAAGGCGATGGATCCAAAACCAAAAAGAGAGGAAGCCAACCTGAAGGGGTGCAACGTGCAGATGACGAGCTCATCGGCCAGTTGACGGACAGTGGCTACGGTAGTCGGGGAAGAACGCTATACACCAGGGCTGGGCGTGGAAGCAATGCTGGCACTTGGCCAGCAGCCCACTACTAAATGGAAAACTATTTTATACTAGCTAAGGGCTATACGATCGCTGAGCAGCCAACAAAGGAAGGAACCATGGCATCCCGGCCTGGCCCAATGAAGCAGAGAGGAACCACCAACACTTGAGCCTGACTGTGCACGCCAAGGATCACAGACCCACCAACCAACGGTTGCGACCGACAAGGATCAAACGAGCGTTGCCAAAAGCGAGGTAGAAACGGCCCGAAGTGGGCTTGACAGCGGCTTCGGCGGCTTGAAAGTGCTCCAGAACAAAACAGCAGGGCGGACAGCAAGAGCTTGGAGGAGGGACCATGAGACCATGAGAGAGGACGATAATGGTTCGTACCAGTATCATGTAGCTTGGGAGCTGGTGCACCTAACAAAGAAGAGCAAGGGCAACAAGAGAATTGTGAGACTGGAGCTGAGAACATAATAAAGAGCAAAGCAAAGTGGGCCGCATGCCACTTTGGATCAGCGAAGACATCGGGGAACACCCTCGCGAGTGCTCTTGGACCCCTTCCAACACGAATGCTGACTCCGAAGAGCAAAGAACTACTAGTGTCATGCATGCATGCGTACTAGTGGACCGTACCTGTTGTGATGTTTGATGATGGTTGATGAGACTGGAACACGAAACGGCACCATTGTCAAGACCTACGTTGGGAACTAAAGAAGATGAGGCGGCAACGATCGGTCGACGACCGCGAAACAAGCAAGCAACGCGACAATGACACAAAGACAGGAACACATGAACTTACATTGTGCGAGGACGAACCACCCCAACAAAGGAACCACCGCAAGATGACAACCTTTCCCAGCGTATATTGACAGGGGCAAAGCCAGCGAGTCTCAACCACGGGGCTCCCGAAGGAACCACGGGCCCCCGAAGGGGCGGCTGCAAAAGCAGCACCGGAGAAAGGTGTCATCGTCATGCATCTGTCTACGGTATAGAGGAAGAAGAAGACTTTGTGTGATGTGTTTGAGAGAGAAAAAGTTTGCTTGAGGCAAACGGCGTTTCATGCAATCAGCATGGCGTTTCGTTTCGACAACTTTTTCAAGACAAACTCAAAATCAAAAACCAAGGTTGTTTCAAATTGGTTTCTCTTTAGGGCGAACACGTTTTGGCAAACGGGAACAACTTTTAAAAAAAATGAAATCAAATTGATACACACGACAAACGAATGCGTCGGCGGACCAAAACTGCCTCCTGACCTCCTCCGCACTGGACCATACCGGTAGCCGAAGGGAGTGTGCCATGGTTGGACGGAATAAGGTCGGTACCGGTAGTCTGATCACGCTTCCTGCCTTTTCCTGATGCTACAGGTGGTTGGTAGAACTAATTGAGGTTGCGTTGAATAGCAACTCCTGCCCTTTTCGGTTATCCAAATGCGAGTGCCTAATCGATGATCCTTGTATTATCCAACTCCTATACTTCCACCTTGAAGCGATAGAAGACATTCGCTAGTATATGGACAACAATTTTACATGTATTGCGGAAGCTAAGCAGGACATGGAAACACTACGAGTACTGGTTATACTCCTAGCTAGACTCCCACCAAAAGATTCCGGGCTCGAAGTCCTGCTGTGGTTGAAACGTACTGGCAAGCAGTTGGCGTCACAACGTCCATACAAGTAGGGTACCGTACCGTACACATGTATGGCATGCAAGTACTCCGTGCTAAAACATACGGTACCGGTACCGAGTGACTACAGACCTTATACCGCCTGGCCAAAGCTGTCAGCTTGCAGCAGTCACTGCTGATACCCACTAGTACATGTATTTGGCCTGGTTGGTCGCCATCCTGCCTGCCATGAACCCATCGGTTGGTGCAACCTGTTGTAGGAGGGAGCAACTGTGGTTCTCATTGATGCGTTGGTGCAGAGACCACAAACTTCCGGTCTCCCGGGAGGAGTCCACTGCCCATTCGCAAGAACCTAAACAGCATTGCTCGGAAAGCTAGATTCTCGTAGCTAGCTAGCTAGAAGCCACTATTTTGTTGGTTTGCCCCCTCGGACGATCGAATTTGGAAAGAAGCAAACCTCGACAGAGACACCCAATATCATACCGCATATTCCACTCATGCTCCATTCCCGCTCAGCAGCGCATTCCTTGCAAACATGACTCCAGCGAGTGTGAGGAAAGCGTCATCTTCGTCTGCTGGATCTTCGAGTACAGCATCACTTCCGCTCCAAGTTTGGTCCTCGTACGGGAATAGCCGCAGGATAGATCCCTGCCCCATCGATGATGATTGTCCAATGGCGGCCAGCACCAGTGCTCGGTTATGTATTCCGTGTTGTTGCATATCTGCTTCCCATTGGTTTCGTTGATGATGGTTTGTACTGGTTCCTCGTTCTTCCGCGCGTTCTTGTGCATACTCTTGAACCGTTTCAACATCTGCCACCACATAAGCAATAGATATACTGTGCTCCTTGTTGTTCCTGCTATCTTCCTTTGGTGGTGCCAGAAAGCTTTCAAGGAGCTGGCAACTTTGCTGCACATTGGGTAGTTCTGTCACCATCAACAGTTGGCCATTGTCGTCAGCTGCAAGGTACTGAAAGCACCGGTTCACAATATCATGAACGGCATCCAATCCACAGATTCCACTCCCGGCGTAAAGAGCTCCACCATCGGTCGTGGTATTACAAAAGTCTGCCACAAAGGGCGGATTGGTCAAGATGCGTTGGAATGTCATGTCTTCGGACAGGTGCACACGGATTGGATCGTACAAGTTGCCTTGCAACACATGAATCTTGTTGTTGTTCTCCATCCTCAAGAGTCCATTCAATGCCAAGGATGCCATGACGTAGTGACAGGCTCGTGGATTAATGTCCACCAGTACCAACTGTGACCAAGAATTCGGGTGGCAGGTGATCCACAGCAAGCCCTGTACGCCACAACCGCAACATAGGTCGAGAATGTTGTTGGGTCCCTCTGTCCGAATATTATCATCTCCCGCGGAAAGGGCACATAATTCAAGCGTGTCGTATCCAATGGGCATAATGGCATTTCGTTTGGGGTGAAAGGATTCCAGAGGCCAGTCAGTCGGTAACAGTAGCAGTGTATTATTGCTCTTCTCTGATGAGGATGAATTATTGGTAGTACCATCACTGGGAAAGAGATCAGAGGTACTTAGAGGATACACTTGCACTGACGCCACCACATCTCCTTGTAAAGCGAGACTTGGTTGAAGTAATCCAGCTCTGAACAGGGCATTGCATTCGTCCTGGCCAATGGCCTGGATAACCAAGTCCCTTTCCACCGCCAAGCCAAATAGAAAGAGATACAAGAGCACATTCAATCCCATGGTTGGTTTTGGATGGTCAGTATTGTTGTCGTGTAGTACATGTAATTCCAAGGCTGGCAGGTCGTGTCGATGATTGAAGAAGGAATTGCCACTAAAGATGCGTTGTTGCTGGTGATCATCCTCTACTGAACCCAGCAATGTCAGTAGAATTTGCCTGCCAGCATCGAGGCAATATCCATAGTGGTCAAAGACTTGTCGAGCTGATTGACCCATGCTCTTGTTATTAGACTCCACATCATGTAGTAGAGGACGAAAGGATTGGCCCACACGAGTCGCCGCAAAAATCCCTTCAAGCTCAGGCACTTGTTGTCTTGTGGAGTTATTCCATCCCAAAAGTCGCACAGCATCTGTCTTGTGTAGCCGGGGCTCGGCCATCATGCGCCTCTTGTGAAGAGCAAAGGCTTCGGCGAAGCGCCCTTCATCTTGGCGAGCAATGGCCAAATCCAATAGCTCATCTTCGGGGCAACTGTCCTCCATCGAAGAGACCTGTCTGTGTAAAGACGATGGCAGGATGGTTGCAATCTTGCCATCGTCGCTGTCTTCCAGTTTTGGGTTTACCCAGCTTCCCGGACATATTTAAAAGCCTGGGTAATCATCACTCGGAATGCAGTTTCGTCATTGGCCGTAAGCCAGCGGACAGGCTGCAGTCCGACTCAGAGAATGGCGCCAAAATCCAACCCGAGCAAAGCAGCAGCACAACATTAGTTGTTGCTTGGAAGAACTCGAAGAGCACAGCCGAGGAAAACTATATTCGGATACTAACTTGACTTAGTAGAACCACAGCTACACAGCCGCAACAAGAAGAAGCCAAGATGAACGTGCCCAGTGACAGCAACAAGAAACGCAAAGGTCCAGAAGAGACGGCAGTCAGTGAAGATCTGATGGATCCGGTGAATATTTTGCAAAAGCTGCTGCAACAGGCCCAGGAACCAGACCCGGAACCCCAAGCAAGTCTCACAGGTCGCCGCAAGCAGATTGTGGACATCAATGATGGATTGAAAGGATTCCTCCAGCTGAAGAAATCTCTAGCTAGATGAATGTGTGGGGAAAATAGTCGAAGAAAAACGTCAAAAGGATGAGACTGCGCAGAGAGCTCTCCATGACAGTTTGTCGCCTGTACTGTCTCTTGGTGCACCAAGTATTTCCAAGATCATGGACTTTCTGGATGAGGAGACTCTGTTTGCAGCGGAGAAGGCATCAATCACCATGGCACAAGTTGCCAAAGATCATGGACATTGGCCAAGACTCTTCCAAACTCTGTCCAAATCCAGGCGCATTAGGGACTTTGTGCCAGGGAACAGTTGGTTCATGCCGCACTATTGTGACTCTCCGCACGAGCAGCGCTACCATAATGAGAAGAAGCCACGATCAACTTCAAGCTACTCTGCGAGTCAGAAGAAAGCGGCCATGCTACGCTTCATTGGAGATCAAGCTGCTACAGCCAGAAAGCTGGAATTGAAGGGTGAACAACACTACAATTATGGCAACGCTGATTCTCAAAAAGAACAAGCTGGCAAGGATCGAAAACTACAATCAGTTGCAAATCCTTGGTTTTGCTTTGTGGAAGAAGGTGCATTAGATGAAGACTGTTTTGTTCGCATATCTCGGGTCCAAAGTCCCACACACGACCCATTACTCATCGCACAAGGTTTCGGCAAGTGGTCAACCGACTCGGACTACTGGAAATACGGTCGGAAGGATCCTTCTATCGCCTTGGACCTGTCGCGCTGGATTCCGTGTCTGGTGGGAGGTGGAAAGAAAAACTATGAAGGACTTTGGCCTGAACTAAAACATTTTGGACATGGAGCAAGCAAGCAACCCCTCCTGAGCGAAAAAGACAAGTTTCTACCAAGGCCAAGGAGGCGTTTCAGAATATACGGGTTTCACTCACCGTGGGCAACAAGCCAGCTCTCACAACGGGATCCGTTGTGAAAACTCATTTTGACGGAAATGTCTGCAGAATCACCCTTGAGCATAGGGGTGGCATGGGTTATACCGTGCAAACATCAGTTATCTTGGTGGGCATGGACAAACAAGACAAAGACAAGGCCCAGCTCTTGCTTTCAATGTGGGTGTGCCCCGACTGATACCGGTTGTGCAATTCAAGTCCACTTTGAGACGGTGGTTTGGTTTGAAGAAATGTCACTACAACCAGAGATGGGGTGACACTTGATGGGATAAGCGACAGGTTTCTGGTGGAGTCTGAAACGGGGTCATACTATTTGGTGGGACAGGCGACATGTTTTGCTGGAGTCAAAAAGTCTGTCTTGTACGAAAATGTGTTGGCGCTATGTACTCTGCTAAAAGCTATAGAATGTGCATGGATATTATGTAGCAATCGTTTATTAGGAGTAGCTACACAAGTTGCCCCGTACCACTCACTCTTAGCACGCCCAAACCCCAGGTGTCTCTAGCAAAAGGTCAAATAGAATGTCCTGTTGATATATCCGCGGCAACTCCTCGGTAGATGCCTCGTTGACACAACCCACAAGTTCGACCAGTTTGGGTTTGGTGCAATCACCCTGATGTTGCACCCGATGGCGTCCAAACCGGTTCCACAACAAATAGTATGGAATCCGCCCCAATGCTTCGGGATTCCCATCTTCGCAATCTTCCCAGGATGAATACAGACACTCTCCAAAAGAAGGATAGGGAAGCTCTTGCAATGTGGTGTTGCCTCCGCGTTGCAAGATGTGTTCTAAGTGTTGTTTGTGGCGTGTCTGTTCCAACAAGGAATGAATGGCCAAAGTTTGCAGGCTGGTGTTGCGTTGCAAGGCTTTCAACACGTCATCCACCCGGGTGGCCACACCTCCCAAAACGGAGGGATCATGCTTGCCCACGTGGAGCGACCGCAGGCACGAACAATGGTCTAGAATATGCACCAACGTGTCCGTCATGTCCTGCGGTTTGGGTGCCTTGGGTTCTTGCCGAAACGACATGGTGAGTTGTTGCAGCGATGGAGTCAACAAGGGACTCAACCATTGGTAGGATGGCATGTAGCAATGCGTCAGCTGCAGTGTGGTCAGCGGTGCAGAGGGTGGTGTTTGTTGTAGAGTGTCAGGCAGGGCTGTGCTGGGAAACTTGAAGCAGGAGAGTTCCAGTTCTTGTAGTGACTGGTTTTGTGACAAGCCCTGAAGAATGGATTGTAGCAGTGTACTATCGTCGTCATGATTGGATACCAAGGATCGAAAGGTTTTGACAACTCGTCGTCCTGGTAGTTGGACCATTTGATGCGTTTCGGCATGAATCTTGAGCTTTGTCAGTGTGGTATTGGCCTGTAGCATGTGGGTCCACAACTGACAAGACTCGGGTGTCATGGTGTCACTGGACAGACTAATGTCCAACTCGGTGATTGTTGTGTTTGTGGCCATATGCTGACACAACGTGTCCATGGCCTGTGCGGTTGCCCACTGCTGTGGTTGACAAACCAAGGTGTTCAAGTGGGGTAGCATTTGACAGAGTACTTGTGCTTCGGGCATGTCCAGTCGATCAGGTCCTGCGTGGTAGTCGGAGCAGAGTCGAAAGCTTTGTTGTCCCTCTGGATAATACTCCCACAAAACATTGTAGACATCAGACGAACAGCCCAATGACATGGCCACGGCCAGCAAATCTTGGTCCTTGCCACTACTAGGATGATTCGCCTTGACCAACTCAGGAGATGCCTGCAGCAGCAGTTTCAAGGCTGAAAGGTTCGGTGAAGACCGTCCCGTTCCGTTTGGATCCATAAAGAGGTAGACCAAGGGAGGCATGCCTTGCGCATTGCAATGAACTCGAGCCAAAGGGTTGGTGTTCTCAAAGATGAACTGGATGACTTGATCAGATGCATAGCGGGACTTGCAGGCAGAATGAAGTGCGGTCTCGTCGGTCCTCTTCAGGTCTTCTTCTTCTGTCATCATGCCACGGATTGCTTGGATCGCATCCAAACGAGAAGCCGCGGGAGAGAGCAGGAACAAATGAAGCGGTTTTTGTCTGGAGGGACCCATTCGCAGACTCCAGAGACGGGGATGCCGTTGGAGAATGGTCAAGGCTCGGTCACAAGCTCTTTCTGACCATGCTTTGCTGTCAACATTGACAAATAAAGAATCCAACTCGACAAATGCTGCCTTTTCTGTCAAAGGAACGTTGTCAAGGCAAGTGGAGGAAGAATCGTTCGGAACAACCATGGTTTTGTCCTTCGTCTTGCAGTATCGCTTCAATCTCTTGCTCTCCTGCTTCTAGCTGGCTAGCTCTTGGAATTATGTAATGGACTTGTTTTCAACTCTCTTGCTTGTTGTGTGCAATGCATGCTAGCTACAGGTAACTAGGATGGGCGAGCTTCCATTGCGAAGGCAAGGTGGAAGGAAACGAAGAAACCGAGACCTTTATTGCCCAAATGTGTTGACGTGGTGCAAGAGGTGGCAAGTTTGTTCGTGACGCAGCGACGGATTGATGCCAAGCAATCGCTCTCGTGAATGACGGTACCAATCCAATAGGCACGTTTCATAAAAAAGGAAGCCAAGGTTCGCAAACAACGAGAAGGGGTACTGTACCATCACAAAACTGCCCGAACCCTCATCGATTTCTAGACGACATCCGATGTCAGAAAGGTATTTTCGTATGACGGACAGACGACTCGGGATCCGCAATCACGGTTCGTGATTGGGGATGTGTGACTCAAATCAGATGGTTATCCGATCATCATCAGATGGCCAGGTGTA